AAGAAATTCGAATAATTACGTACCAATTGAGAAAGATTTCCTGTTTTACTGCGAACTGATTTCTATTGTCTTCTTGTTGGATTTCAACGGGACTGGCGATTTGAGCCTTGAGGAGCCTTAGCCTGGAGAGTGTGGAGAGGCGACCTTTTAGGGTTTTGTTTTTCAATTTAACGTGTTTTCACTTTACCTTTTTTTTTTTTTTTTTAATGTAGCCGGGTTGGGTCGGGTCGGTTTGGATCGGGTTTAGGGTGTTAACCCATAACCCGACCCAACCCGACCCGACTTCCCAACCCGAAACCCGAAACCCACCCAAAAAAAGCAAAAAACCGACCCAAACCGGTCGGTTTGGGTCGGGTTGGGCGGTTTGATCGGGTTGGTTTGGGTTTTGCCCACCCCTATCTGAAACTATTCAGGTAAATACATACAACCTTTTCAATTAGCATTTTGTTAAGAATATTATTTTTGGTTTCTTCATTGTTATTTGTTCCCCTGAGAGAGAGTTCTATAAGCTTACATGATACCATTTGTTATATATTTAATTTGTATTTATAGGTATTTTACCATTGAAATCTATTTTTTAAAACCGATCCTGACTTCCCGCAAATCCGACCATTCCTCAGTGCATATATATTATGCCCCTAGGTAAAAATAAGAGAGAGAAGACGCATGATCCGTTTTCGATAAACGAATTCTTTCAAATCCTTGTATCGAGTAATCACAACAGTTAGTATCTTTTTTTTTCAATGTTATCAAAATTGATCATGCTCGGCGAACCGATATAATCCAGCCGAATACGGGAATATCAACATTCAAAATCCACTAATTAAAACATGTCCTAAAATCGATGAATCTTCAATCGGAACTTGTTGAATCGATCGCAACGTTTTTAGGTTTTTAAAGGTCATTCTTAACTCAAAAATAAAAGGCCCGTTTTGTTTGAGTTTCAATTTTTAAATTTGAGTTCATTTATAGTTTTCTATTTTGATGTTCCGTTTTAAATTGTTGAAAAACACGTTTGATTTGTCATATACGTACATTTTAAAATTGATAAATCTTTCAATATTTATTTTTCGCTACAAAAGTAAAATTAAAGTAATTATTAAATTAAGTTGGCAGAATATATAAAATAAAATAAAAATGAAATTAATGACGTGAACTAAGTTTTTTATATGTGCTCTTTCAAATATCTTTTAGAATTTTTATTTAAATAACTAATAAGGGTTTAGAGATTTTATTTAAATAACTAATGAGGGTTTGTAATGTTTTTATTTTTTACTTTATATAATTTCATTTTTCAACAATTTATTGGAATTTTATTTCTTCAGAATTTTTTTTTTTTTAAAATTTATTTTTATCGAATTTTAGATTTTATTTTTTTTTAAATTTTTATTTTGAGAATTTTTTATTCTCTCTTCTATTTTTTTTTTATCATTTTAGAATTTTAAACGTTATTTTTAAATTTAATTTTTCTAGAATTTCAAAATCATAATTTTTTAGAATGTTTTATTTTTTCAAAATTTCAAAATTTCGTTTTTAAATAATATTTTATTTAAAAGATTATTTTTTTTATTTTTAATATTTTTTAGCATTTTCACTATAAAGACTCAAATCTTCTAAAATATGTTTTAAATTTTATATTATAATTTATAAAATTATGAGCCCGTTTGGTAGAGATTAAAATCGGATTAAAATTGAAAAACTAGCTGTTGACTTTTATTAGACGAGTGGGGCCCAATAACGACTATATTTTCAATTTTAATTGGATTTTAAACGGTATCAAACAGGCTCTAAATCTTTTTTAGAAGATATATTTTTTCAAAAAAAATTAGATCAAACTAATTTTGAATATTTTGCAAAATTGAAAACTGAACTAAGTCTTTAGTGTAAGCAATTAAACCATAATATCAAGATCTTTATAATTCATGATTTTCACAAATAAATTTAATAGATTAAGAAACGTACTTTGATCCATAAAAATAATTGGATGATTTAAAATTGTGAAAGATAAATAGGTAAATAAATAAATTGTTCTCTTTCTTTATCTGTAAATGAATGTTTTAATTTGACGGGATGAATTCACGTTTATAGACATAGAGACACAGTTTCTTTATGGATCTTATAACTACCAACTTTTCATCAAAATGTATAGCTAGAAAATTGTCACTTCTCAATGGACAAATAAAATTATTGAATATTTAAACCCAACATGCAGAATTATACAATTAAAAGCAACAAGTCGCTTT